TAATTTAAGTGATATACTAACGTATTAATATTAGGATTGTAGATTAGTTTATTTTAAATTTAAATAGGATTTTTTTTCTCAATAATTTTTTTAAATGTTTATTCAATATTAAATAACCACGAAAATATTTTCAAAAATTAATTAATTAAGTGTTAAGCATAAATGAATTAAAGTAAATTTTATTATGATATGAATGAAGAACAACTTATAGCTTTGGGAAAAAAAATTACAAAATTAACCGATATTTATTTACAAAAGAAACCAGATCTTATTAAATTATGCAATTTAGAATTAATTCAAGAAGTTCAGGACTCAGCGAATACACGGAAATCTTAAATAAACAAGTAATGCAACTAAATAATGAAACTAAAGACAGCCATCAAGAAATAAAACGATTAAATACAAAATTAGAAGGAATAGACAGTTATCATAAAAATAAAATCGATCATCTGTGTACCAAAATCGAACAACTATGTACAGAAATGCATAATTTTAAAAAATACGACAAGACAGTCAATTTTGAAAATAGATCACGCAAGCGAGACAAAAGTCCATATCCAGAAAGAACAGATCACGAAGGCAGGAACAATTATAGAGAAAAAAGTCCTTATCCCGATAGGTACAACAACTATAAGTTCAGAGAAACTAGTAGAGATAGATACAATAACAATAAATATAGAAATAACAGTAGAAAAATGAGCAATAATAGAGATAGGTCTGACTCAAGAAATAGGGAAAACTCCTACGACAGATCCAGAGATAAAAATAGTTATAACAACAGAAATAGTGAAAATGACACAAATTGGAAACAGTATAGTAGGGAAAACAGCAGAGAAAGATATTCAAGATCCACGACGCCGGAGAGATTTAACGGAAGAGAAAAAATAACATGCTACAAATGCAATGGTAAAGGACACTATGCTAACGATTGCAATTTTTCAAAAAACGAATAGCACCCGAGCTAAGAGAAAAATCGGAATATCTAACTCGGGGAACAAAATATAATACTAATACCAAAACCGACACCTCAAAATTTAACAAAGAGAAGCAGATTGAGAAAAATAATTATATACATTTTGTAGAAAATTGGTACAAATCAAAAAATTCAAATAAATTAATAACTAATGAAATAAACGACGATGACGAAAGATCTATAGAAAACATCGTAACAATAAGTAATTTGAACCCATTAAATGAATTCCAAAAATTCCTACTCAGCAATAGCGATAGAACCGACTTCCTATGCGATTACAGTGAACAGACGGTAAATATTTTTTCATTACCAAATGATATCGCAATCGGCCATTGCACAAGCCAATGCCTCACCATGTCGAAGGGGATCGCATTACAATTTAGAAATAAATTTAACAACGTTCAAAATTTAATAGACCAAGAAAAAAAACCGACCGAAATTGCTTATTTGAAAAACGGAAGACAATGGATTCTATACCTCATAACAAAAAATAAATATTACGACAAACCAGCATACACTAACATTTTTAGCACATTAACTAATACTAGGCAATTTTGTATAAAAAATAATATTACTACCTTAGCATTACCCAAAATTTGCACTGGACAAGACAAAAAGGATTGGAACGTTATTTCTACCATGATTAAGTTTATTTTTCAAGACACGCAAATAAAAATTTTAATATGCCTACTGCCGAGCAACGACAATGAAAAACAAAATAAACATTATAAAAACAATGATTCCCAAACTACTAATATTACGATAGGTAAAAATTTTAATAACACGATCAGTGATAGTTTAAAGAACGAAATCGCACTAATAGCTGGTTCATTCATAAAAACGAAAGACGTACCCGGAGACGGTGATTGTGGTGCCCACGCACTACGAATATGCTTGAAACAACATGGTATATATAGAAAGACGGTAGAATTATTAAATATGCTCGGCATTCCTAATTGCAAATCTGGCTACTATTTTAAAAATGACGATCTAGCATTTATCTGTGACCAATTTAATTTAAATTTATATTTAATACACGAAGATTCCGAACATACAAATGCCATAATATACTGGAAATCAAATAGGAAAAGTATAGGGATATTCGAAAAAGATTATAATTGGACACCAGGAATTATCACAAAAATATATAAACCACTTCAATTTAATAAAATAATAATAAACACAGTTTTTCCCGACTTTAATACTGTAGAAAAAAATGTAGACCATTTCTTATACGAATGTTTCGATCGCTTAAAATTATCGCAACAAAACACAATAGAAAAAAATAAAACCGGCAACTATTTTAAAACTGACAAATCAACAATATGGTACTCACAATTTTGCCAAGACTGCGAATATTTGTCCACAACCAAGGACGTACTAGACGACCACGATGACAAAGAAGAGTATTGGAGTGAGGGGGGAAACGTTATGTTTTGTGAAATATGCGGAAACTACATAAGAGAATATCGGAATCGGCCCATACAAGAAGACGAGAAAGCCATAGAAACCAAAAACCAGCTAATTCAAAACAAAGACGAAATTAAAATCAAAAATCAAAATACAAGCGTAGATTCAGACACAGACCGGAAACAAAGAGTGCTATCCATACAAATAAAACTAGACGGCAACGAACAAAATGCAATAATAGACACAGGCTCAAATCTATCATGTATAGATTATTCCCTAGTAAAAAATAAACAAGAAATGAAACCCGAGAACAAACACCAACAACGAAGACATAAGAAAGTTACCGAAAACATTGATAAAAATCCAGGAGGGCTTCGAGAATCTTATAAATGTTATCAAGTCCATTGAATAATTTTTCTAAATATTACCTTAAACAAAATTAATGTAATTGTAAAAATTAAAATTTATCAAAACAATATAATAATAAACCCCCTTTTAGGAAACACAGTAATAAATTAAGTATATGTCATGTATAAGTTCAATTAACTCTTTACCTATATATATGAATTAATAACACAATTACATTTAAGGGAAAATAATAAAATATTAAAAACATGTAAAAAAAAAAGATATAAAAAAACAAAAGAATAGAATGTATTTTCAGCATAATCAAAAATTAACGAATCAACAGACAACAAGCCGCGACAATCTTCTGAGACAAAGTGCGAATATAATATTTTCAAAGTAGACAATAAGCATTAAACCAATAATTATAAAAACAATAAGCAAATACCTTTTCATACGAAGACACGAGGAAGATACTGCAGTCAAAACAGAAGTTTAGAAAAATAATATATGAGAATATAATATATAAATAAAAAAAAATATATATATACAGATTATAAGAAGAAAAACTAAAACAAGCAAGATAATAAATACTTACCTTATGAAATACAAAAAGAGAAGAAGAATTAACTACCACAGAATCGAAGAATAAAATCCCGTAGAAGAACAACAATCATTTACTGCTATTTGTCGAAATAAAATATTATACTTCAAACTGAGAAAAATCTCTAAGAAAACATTTTCCACAAAGAGCCAATCAATAAATTATTATAACCTTATATGTATTCACATAAATTTTTGTATCTATATTCTGAGTAAAAATTTCATACATTATAATACAGTATAGTATTATAACTCAATTTATATTTATGTTATAAAAAAATTATTAATCATTAATATGTATTTATGAATTATATGTTTCTAATTGTTTCTAGATCCTCACATAATATTGCCACAGGTAGAGATTTTTTTTTGTAATACCGAGTTAATTTTATACAGTATAAAATAATTACGGCGGTTGAAATATCGATTTATCTGTTTTAAATTTAAATTGTTGTAATTAGTGTTAATTATTTTGTATGTTTAATTCGTGAATTGTGGCTATTGTCATTCCTTTTGGAATATTACTATATACGTTGGAATAATTGTATAAGATTACTTCGTTAGAATAGTCTACTATCTGGGTTTCTAGCATTAAATGTTTTTCGCTGCCTAAGCGGTCTGTAGGATTTATTTTATACTGTGTTAGTATATCATTGCTTGTGATATATATTTTTAATTTTGACTTCGATTTTTTTTGCAATAGTAATATTGTCATTAGATTTTTCTTTTATGTATTCGGGTTGCACTTGTGATGCTTTCAGTTGCATAAATGTTTAAATTATTATTTTCATTATGTTTGTAATATATATATTTTTTTTTCTTTTCTTCTTCTCTCTCCCCCAACAACGCGTTAAAAAATAAATTATTAAAATAATAGGATTAAAATTAACATTTAAGCATAATTTTATAGTCAACGACGCGAATAAGCCGAGACAGTAATATAGTGTAAAAGTAGATTAGTATTTAATGTAGTAATAAGACAATTGTATGTAAAAAATTATTAAAAAATGAGGGCATTTTTTTTCAAAAAACAACGGGGACTGTCGTATATTGTAGACAGTCGTCAAAATATTATTTCATATATGTAATAGAGGTGGGAACTTTTTATTGTAAAACATTGACATAGGTCAGTGAAGCATATGTGCTGAGACAGCTATAAGATTACTATATAACACCGCCGCACGCGCAGGCACGGAGAGTCCCGTTGTCGCTGAGTGAATCGGCGAGGACGTAGGTACTGTGGTCGTACGTGTGAAACGTCGATCGTAGTACGGGCCAGGCAATCCGGATTTGCTAAGTGTTTAATTTATGTTTGTTTTAATATAATAAAAGTGTTTCCGACCTAAAAACCCGAGTTGAGTTTTATTTCAAAGTCTTCTTCGTTCTTACCTTTAATATTGGAACAGTGCTCAGACCCACACACCTATAGTCAATGAGGTTTATTACAAACTGAACAGTGCTCTGGTTGTGGCGTCCTAATAGTCATTCCAATTTAGGAAACGAACGAAGAACTGACAAAACGCTACCATCGTACCTCAAAGGTTAACAGTGCTAATCTGAATATATTCTAGAGACAGTCATTAGCCTAGAGCGTACGAGGGTAAGGTATAAAGTTGGTTTACCGCGTATTATCCAATACGGGTGATACCACAATCCTGAAGTAAATGTAATGGCTCTCAAAATGAAAGAAAATTATCAAAAAAATGCAACAGAAGCAGCAATACAACAGACTGTTTCTATTTCTAATGTGTATATAAACAGAGCCGGTAGAGAACTGACATCGGCTAATGCACCAAATACAACGAATAACACACAACAAAGTAACCAAGGAAAATTACCTATGGATTGTGAAGATGTGGAAAGTATGAAAGGTAAGCAAACAGGAGTTAATTCATGTTTTAAAATGTCCTACAAAAACATTATATTTTATGTTCTTTTATGCTATACAGGTACATTTTCATGGAAATTAATCGGTGATTACCATGTACCATGTATCGTAAGATCTATAAAAGGTGAACTGATTAAGTTTGTATCTGTCCGTATGGCTGAAAAAAAGCTGCTCAGTTTCTTTTTATATTATTTACATGAAGATATTTTTAATTTCACAACTTTGAGAAGTCATATTATCACAGATTCTGAAGCTAATCTATTAAATGAAATCAACCAAGAACATGCAGACTGTATATACGGGAAAAAAAAGTTTAAGGCAGGAAAAGAGTATATCGTCCTATTAGAAGAAGTTCAAGAATTTTTTACGTTCCTAAAAGTATGTTATAAAAAATTAACGTGCAATATTACTACTGGTATCACAGAAAAATGCGGTTTTATACGTATTAACTCTGAATTTGTTGTGCCATACTGTATTGAAGATAACCGAAAATATGTTCCGCTTTTCTACTTTAAATTGAAAACAGAAATCCTAAAGCATCCAACTGTACAATTAGAAAATTGGAACTTGGCCTATCTAAAGTTCTGTTGTAGAATTCAGGGTATTTCAGATGAGTTGTTTCCTAGCAACTCTTGCACAGTGATCAATCTTGATGATCTCAAAAATTATTTTCCATCGGAAACTAATTTTGAGGAATATTGGCCAGGTACGGAGACTTATAGAAAATTCCTCATTAATCAAAAAACAACTTGTAAAAATCAACCCGGTGACCGGATCAGAGAACCACCTGAAGTAGAACCTGCTGAAAATACTACTCGTCCTACATTAACGGCACCAGCACCAGTATTACCACCGAATATACCAAGGATGATGATCTCCAATCAAAACAGATGGCCACCAAACCAAATGGTATGAATTATGTTTTATATTATTTAAATATATATTTAAAATTGCTTTTTATTTTTTTTTATTTATATAAATTATTACTTGTGTTTTCACAATGTATTCAAATGTATAATTTATTTTATACTTATAATTATTTTTAGTAGTTACTATTAAATATTAATAAACAATGGATATATATATAAAAAGGTCTATCAATTAATACTTATAATATATTTTGTAGCTATTTGTACAAAAAATATAATTATGGGAAAAATGGTTTAAAGGCCTTTTTAGTTTTTATATTCAATTTTACTTTTATTCGTTTCATTTAATTATACTCAACAGTAATGGTAGTGTCGTTCTTGCTTTTAAATAAACCATTTTTTTCTCTACAATCAGCCTGTATTCTCAATAGATTAGTAATATTTTTGTAGGTTAATTCATATACCACTAAAGCTCGGCCACCATATGGAACTCGTGCTTTTTCTAGCTAGAAATCAAAGCATAGCTGCGCAATGCTATAATGCTGTACTTAATTTACAACTTTCTTCATTTTTATTATCTCTCTTATTCCTCGCCCCTTATATAGAAAAACTCAACCAATTATCTGTAGTTCAAAGCTCACACTGTAAGCTATTTTTGATTTTATAATTTTGTCTCCATTAAAGAATTAACCTTCTTGTGTTTGTATATAATACAAACAATTTTTATAAACAAATTGTGTGATATAATTAAATGTTTGAATTCAATGGTTGTTTTTATTTTTACTACTATTAATATCACATTGTAGGCTATGTGATACATATTAGTAAATCAAGTTTTTACATTTAGTTTTTATTGGATTTTCAGAGTTCAACAATGTCTCAAGGCAGCAGTTTAATAAGAGATGCGGGTCATTTTGTACCACCATCGACTTTAGTCCGTGCAGGCAGTGCGGCATCAGTAATTGGGTAAGTGTTATCAAAATAATATAAATAATCAAATTTGTATATATCTAAAATCAGAAAAAATAATATTTATGCTTATAGTAATACCGTCACATACTCCAACGTTGTACGTGTACCTATTAGTCAATTTGTACCACCACCACCACCACCTTTAGTCTTTGCAAGCAGTGCGGCATCACTAATTGGGTAAGTGTTATCAAAATAATATAAATAATCAAATTTGTAAATATCTAAAAGCAGAAAAAATAATATTTATGTTTATAGTAATACTGTCACATACTCCAACGTTGTACCTATTAGTCAATTTGTACCACAACTACATTTAGTCTTTGCAGGCGGTGCGGCACCACTAAATAGGTAAGTGTTATCAAAATAATATAAATAATCAAATTTGTTAGTATCTAAAATCAGGAAAAATAATATTTATGTCTCATACTCCAACGTTATACCTTTTAGTCAATGTGTGGCAACTATGAACAATCCAATGATCAATGCAATATTACATTCAAGTCAAATGCCACAATTCTACCCTCAACCTTCTAACAATAGCCAAGCGCAACCACAACAGTTGCATCAACAACAAATTACTAATCCTCAAACTCAGCTGTCATATAGTGGCCAATCTGTGTATGATCGTTTCACCAACAATCAACAGCGCCACGCATTGAATAATGTTGGACCAACACAACAATACCAATCTGCGGGTGGTCCGTCCAAAAGACAACGCACCGAATAGGAAGTAGGAATGGGCCTGGCACGGTGGAAGCAGACCTGACTGGCAAAAGCTGGTGTCGGGCACAACAGCAGTAAAAGCCATCCCCGTCTCCATCACTGGTTGGTACTCGCCGAACGCAGCTTACAGCAACGATCGACGGTGCTGGTCCACATTATCATTTATTATTAACTGAATTCCTGTCCAATTAAGATTATGTTTTGACTAGATTCTAATTCTGAATACCAATATATTATATTATGCTATGTGTGCTTTGTTCCTATAAATAGTATGTCTACAGAGTACATATACATTATATTTGTATATGTACAAACAAAATTAATATTTATCTACTCCAGTGGTTTTCAACCGGTGTGCCACGATAAATCTATTAATAGTTTTATAATTTTGAATTTACCAGTATTATTATCGATATTCTGTGAAAACTGATAACTAACAAACATAAAAACAGGCTAATCGCTCATCATTAATCGTAGATACGTATAATAGCATTTAATATTAGTTTGCCCATCGCAGCCATTTCTGCTAACACTTTAATAAATAATATATTTCACAATAATTAACCCTCTAATAAAGTAGAAGATTGTAAACAGTATATCTATATATAAGTACATATATGTGTGTACCTATATATATGATATAAAAATATATGTTTCACATATTATATTGATTGGTGTCTTGTTAAAAAGATTGAAAACCATTGATCTACACGATTCCATTCAGTGTATGTATTATAATTTAGTATTACAATAATATTATATATTGTAAATGTTATGAACATTTTGGATATTTGTCATTTTCCATTAGGTTATTCAAAGTTTTAATTTGAATATTAGTTTTAAATGATTTACTGAAAAGTGAACACTTATAAAATAGTAAAAAAAATATTTAACTTTTGTACTGACCTATACAAAAGTGGAACTTATTAAAAAAAAAAGTAGAAATCTTCTGGTATCTTATTACGGATCATGTTTATTATTATGGTATACAGTAAACCTACCTAATATAATATAATATCAATATAATAAAAAAAAACATAACACAAAATAATATTATATCACAAAATTTTACTTAAAAATAGACATTATTCGATCTAATGCGAATAAATACTCAAAACTGTGTGTGCTAAATGAAGTAGTTTGCTAATTGCATGCATAAAGTATAAATGGTTAAAATGTACAGGTAATAAATTCGAATTATAGACGTCTGAACGAGAATACTCAAGAAATTATAAGGTTGGGACCATTAAATTTAACGTCTGTCATGAATCGGACGTGTAGGGGGACGTCGAAGGGACAGCCAATTTGACGGATTTTGAGTGTGTGACCGTCGACTATTATAGTAATAATTATAATAATAATTATAATAATAGGTTAAATTCGGGTGACGGTCAAAAGGGCGAAAACTAAATGATTCTACTCGATATATTATTATTCTTAGACAAACAAACATATTATCGTCTATATGAGATATATAACTGATCGATATAACTCAAAAACAAAAAACGTTAGAACTTGAAATTTAGAATAGTGGTTTCTTTGATAATATAGTTGTGCAATAAATAATAAAGGATTTTCCGATATTCGAATTTTATGGAGCAGCTGGTCAAACACGCATATTTTGGTTTATGAACAACAATAGTAGGTAGGTATTCTATAACCGTTTTTTTGCGTTCCGTTCGGGAACCCTGGTAAAAATGCTTAGATTTTCTTCAACAGTATCTTTTCTGATAGGAAAGTTAAACTAGTTTGTACTTTGGGGGGTCAAAAGTAAAAGTCTACAAGAAAATCAAATTAAATTTTTATGAGAGTTTGAAATTCAAATTTTTACAACATTGGATATTCACTCGATTTCTCATGTAGCGATTTCCTTATTTTGTTGTAATTAAAAAACGAATGACTGTAGATACTTGAAAATTGCATTGATTGTTTATATTAGCATTTCCTATACAGCATACAATTTTGAAAATATTTCGTCTCTTTTTGAGCTGTTAACGGACATTTTAAATTTTAAATTTTTTTAGTTTTTTTTTCTATAAATATCAATAAAATTTAACTTTTTTTGCAAAAAAGCGTGAAAATTTAATGCAAGGCTACTGATATATTGTTACAATAGCAGTTGAAAAATATTAAAAATATATAAGCACAATTTTTTTTATAAGCATTTAAAGTTCAAATTTTTACAAAAATGTGTATGTAAAAAAAATGTATGGCCTTGTTCTGCAAACATGTATAACTTAATTAGAATAAATTCTTTCTGTAACATCGCTTTCTATTGAAAGTATTCCTTAGGCATCCACTTTTTCTTGGCTCAGTGTATGATATTAATCTATTTTATATTCTTAAGTAATTAAAACGATTGTTCGCTAGAACAATTAGTTACTGCAGTTACTGACATCATAAAAAAAAAACATGCAAACAGGTTTCTACGTTTTAAATTTGATTCATACATAATTTAATAGGGATATTTATCTATCTGTAGAGTGTACTCTATTACTGAAGATTATAACTACATAGAAAAGTGTTACCCACCAGGACCGTCCCTACAATTTGCGGGGCACGGGGCATAAAGCATAACTATTTTTGAGGGGCGTATAACAAAAAATGTGATGCTTTCTGCACAAAGCCAATGACATTATCTAGTAACATCTACCAAAAAATGTAAAACTACGTAAAGTATTTTAGATTCTGAACGGAGCAATGAATGTATTAAATATTAATATTACAATGATGTGTGTGTGCGTTTTTTTTTATGTGTGTGTACACGATATGTAGTCGAAAAAATGCTTCGATTTTCAACTTAAGTATCTTGTTTAATGACTGAAATTACTTTAATCAACTGAATCGTATTATGCATTCAGTAGGTAGGTCAAAATTTAACATTCCTAGTAGCTTAAACTAGAACGAATTTTAAACATTTGTTTAAAACGAATAAAACACTTGTTATTTACCTAAAATATATATTTATTTTAGAGAGACATTTTCAGTTTTCAATTTTTTAGTTTTTTTTTCTATAAATGGCAATACAATTTTATTTGTTTATTTGTTATGCCAAAAAGCTTGAATATTAAAAGGTATGTAAGGATTACAAGGTTCCTGATATATTGATACAAGTGCAGTTGAAAAATATTTAAAAAACATAGGCACAATTTTTTTTATAAGAACTTTAAGTTCAATTTTGACAAAATTTAACAAATTTAAATTTAAAAATAGTTTAGTAGTTAAAAATATGTAAAATATTCATATTTTAAAGTTAAGGATTGAAAACTTACAACAAGGTTCCACGTAATTATAAGTAGGTTATTCTGTAACCAAAAATTCTCTAAAATATAAAAACACAGTTTCTTTTTATAGCTATTTTATGTTCAAATTTGAAGGAAATTGCATATTAAATAACCAAGAATAACAATTTTAGTTATTTTGTTATAATATTAGTTCAACTTTCGGCTACCGTATTAATAATAACTATTAAATAATAAGCAACTACAATACAAATATAATATACCTATTACCTAAACTATCCTAGGCCAACAAATCACCTCCACTCAGAATCGTTTTTCGTACACAATGATATAATAATATAATATTATTGAATTCAAGTGTAATACGATCCATTACAGTGACCTGCTTGTAACCTACTGTGCAGCAGAGCGATATCCACCAACCCACTTTTTAGTTATTGTATATTAAAAGTAGTCTCGTCTGAAGTTAATATGTTAGAAATTTGTGATTTTAAACTTGGTAAAAAAAGTGTACGATTTCATTCCAGAAGTATATCTTAAATTTCGGTTTCATTAATATAATTTTTATTAGATCACCTTTTTCATAATTTGAATTTATTTTGGCAATTTAAATGATAAAAACATCATCATGGAAAATATTTTCTTGAAAATTACGAAAAGGTGGTTGCTTTTTTTTAAATTAAGAATTTTTACTAAACATCTTTTATTAAGATAGTAGTATTTTTTTATATCATATAACTACATGACATACAAACTGTATGACCTTTCCTAATTCTTGATATAAGGTCAATTTTTTTAAGGGTTCTAAATCACTTAAGGTTGACCTCTTTTGCTATTGACTGAAGCTCGGAGACTTTCATTTTTTCTAATATGCTTATAAAATGTATTCATTGCATTGTTTATTATACATTTTTTTAAAAAAAAAAGGTAATTAATTTTTATTCTCAATTTTATATAGGATTTATTCTATAAATTAAAATGTTTAAATTTTATACCTAAAGATTAACAAACTTTTCTCATAAAATGTTCATACTGAAACCAAAAAGTCTAAAAATATAATATATAAGTAGCTTTTTTTTATAGATGTTTAAAGTTCAAATTTAGTCGAAATTAGATATTCAAACAAAGAATATTGATCTTAATATTTTAAAATATTATTCAAAACAAAAGTACTCATCAAAAGTATGTGTAAAGATTATTTGGTAGATACTAATATAAAGTTATAATTAATACAAAACATAGTATTTTAGTTTTGTCTTCTTGTAAACATACTAATATTATGTATGTCATAACATTGTTGTAGGTAGCCCTCATTAATAAAATTATGAATAATATATTTATGCCGGGTTGCATAAAAGCGATGATTAAATTAGTTTAATGGTTTGTTTTAATGAATGATTAAAATACTTTTAATGAACCGATTAATGTACTGATTAATTAACCGTGTTGCATAAAAGATGTATTAAACTACTTTTGGTTTATACCTAGTATGTGGTTTTTGTCTTTTTGATAATTTAGTTATCACCAAATTGAGAAGATAATATTAATTATTAATACAAATCACGATTAAAGATATATATATATATATATATCTTTAATCGTGGTACAAATTGAAAATATACTCATATATATAATATAATGATAATATTATGGTAATTGCCAATTGGTAAATATTAAGTCAATACGAATTACGAATTGTTATGGACTTATGGTCTTGGTCCTGTGAAGTGTGAGTGCCGATTGATGTGTTTTGTACTTTCGT